TCAATGCCTAGGAATCAATATTCCTCTCTGTACTGTATATCAGGAAACGCTTAACTGTTAGACCAGTACAACAATGGAATCAATTTATCTTGGGAGGTGGGAGCGCTCCAACAATGGAGGCCTTCAAGAACGAACTGGACCACCCTCTGTCAGATCTGCTTTGACCTGGATTCCTGCCTTTAGCAGCGGTTTGGACACCATGCCCCCCTCCACCTCCTCTATTCTATGATTCTACGATTCAATTGACTGCCCTTCTTTCTGCTTTCTTCCTGCACCACAGCTCCTTGATTCAACATTCCCCCAGGAAATGGAAACGGAATGGGCTTTCCTGAAAGAATATAATTCCCAAGAGGAAGCTCTCCAGGACAGCCAGGCCATTGCACGAGATTATAAGAACCTTACCGGTCTCAACCGGGGTCATCTCAACCCCAACTCGCACCAGCCTGATCGAGATGCAAAATCGTCTACCTTCACTTTCACCAACATCGTGCCTCAAGCCATCAAGCTCAATGGAGGGGCATGGAACAATTATGAGCAAAAGACCATGTTGCAGCAGACGGAAGGATGCAACGAAACGTTTGCCGTGGTGGGAGCCGTGCCTGGCAACAACTACATAGCTGAAGGGAGGGTAAACAAGCCCAGCTATCTATGGTCGGCCGCCTGTTGCGTGATAGATAACAATCACATGAAGTCTTGGGCGATCATTGCCCAGAATGATGAAAATGTGGTCTACAGTCTGACTTTGAGGCAGCTGGAAGAAAGGTTAGCAAAACTGTATAATCTGAATTACATCTCCCTGTTTGATCGTGACTGTCCCAGGGAATAAAAAAATACAAAAGAAATGGCTGCAGAAGAACCTGCGGGTTTCCAAACGCCTGAGTCAAGCTGTTTGAGAACATTTTATAAAAAAATTCTAGCTTCAGATAGAAAAAAATGCAAGCAAAAAGCCCTTGGCATGCAGCCAGGTTGCAGGTCCAGATCCTGCCTCTGCTAGCGGGTCTTTTGCCACGATCCAGCAATTATATATACATGCACAAAAGCTCTGTGATCAGTATAAATACTCTGCCTACAAAGGCTTCCCTGTACACCACAATTCAGTGCATGCGCTTATGCAGGGGTGCCTCTAATCGTAACAACAGAACGTGGATGTACAAGAACCTTGATGGTATATTTCCAGTCTTCAAAGAGGTCTGGATTGGCCATTGGGCCATTGCCTTTTTGTACAGTGGTGCCTCGCTAGACAGTTACCCCGCATGACAGTTTTTTTTGCTAGACATTGACTTTTTGCGATCGCTATAGCGATTCGTAAAACAGTGATTCCTATGGGGGAATTTTGCTGGACAATGTTTGGTCCCTGCTTCGCAAACCGATTTTCACTAGACGACAATTTGCTTTTTGCTAGACAATGATTTTGCTAAACAGCAATTTCAGTGGAACGGATTCATTTTCCCTACCCGTTTAGCGACGATTCCGGGGCACCACTGTATTATTAATGTATTATTAATGACTTACCTCACAGAGCTGTTGAGAACACACAGAGTAAAAGTTGCACACTATATTTAATTCACAAACCTCTAAAATGGGTATTATTAATGACCTACCTCACAGAGCTGTTGAGAACACACACAGTAAAAGTTGCACACTGTGTTGGAATTATGCATGGATACTTTAACTAACTACTCTTTTGCAGGTGGGATATAACTGTTCAGGTGTATTTCTCTGTTTTAATAAATTCTCCCCATTGCCCTGCAATCATCCGAGTTTACAGATTTCAAGGTGACCTGGATAGGAAAGCTGATGAGTTGGCAGCAGTTATGAAAAATGTTTCATTTTGACCGCAAATTCCAGAGTCCACCAGCTAGCAGAGCGCTCGTCTTCAGACCTTTTTCTTTAGGAAAATAACCTTCGAGGCAGGAGGTCCAGGAAATGCTGTTTATTACGCTAGCAGATAAATCATATCCGCACACAAGCATATAAGTATGGAATCCAAAGTGATAACTTACAGATAGGCTGTTCTATAAAAATAAAGACCCAGAACAAAAGGATAAAGACATGATTCTTTCCAAAAAGCGTAGCTAAAGAGGCAACTTAGAACAAGACATTTCTTAGCCATTGGGCTCATCCGCTCGGGTGGCGATAAGCTTTGTCTTGGCTGTTCCCAAAATCAGGCGTGTCTTTGGCCTGGAACAGAAAGTAGCATGACATTGCTAATTATTTTATTTACTTACAACAGATTAAAGACAGAGACCATGTTCAGAATGATACCTTTTGCTTTTGGATTTCATGTACAGTATAGTCATTGGGTATATGTGAATTGTTGTTGTTTAGTCGTTAAGTCCTGTCTGACTCTTCGTGACCTCATGGACCAGAGCATGCCAGGCCCTCCTGTCTTCCACTGCCTCCCGAAGTTGGGTCAAAGTCATGTTGGTCACTTCGGTGACCCTGTCCAACCGTCTCGTCCTCTGTCCTCCCCTTCTCCTCTTGCCTTCACTCTTTCCCAACATCAGGGTCTTTTCCAGGGAATCTTCTCTTCTCACGAGATGGCCAAAGGTTTGGAGCCTCCGCTTCAGGATCTGTCCTTCCAGTGAGCACTCAGGGTTGATTTCCTTCAGAATTGATAGATTTGATCTCCTTGCAGTCCATGGGACTCTCAGATATATATGAATACCCTCTATATATTCATCTGGTTAATGCTGAGTATGCTATTAAGGTTAAATGAGAAGGAACATCTCACTGGCTAGAGGATTCTGGGAGCTGTAAGGCAAAAAGCCATTTCCTCCAAGCTCTGGAGAGTTGTGTGAAGAAGTGTCTATGGCCCTCCAGAGAAATGCATTGCTGGATGAGGCCCGCGTTTGCAGTTGTTACTTCCATGATTATAATCCCTAGAATACCTCATCCAAACTCCAGTTCTTTAAACTGGCAAACTAGAGTGGAGGCCCCATCTAGTCCAGAGACACATTCAGGATTCCAGTCTTGAAGCTGCTTTTTATTTCAGAATAAAACTGTTCAGTTGAAGAAATACGCTTGGATTCTGCAAAGAGCAGGTGGCGCAGCTGAGTTCTGAAAGCTTGGGAGAAATTCCCTCTTGGCCTTTCCACTTGCTTGAAGCTCGTCTGGTCTTGTGAATTTTTCCTAACTGGGAAAGAAGAACCTCATGAGGTTATTCCCAAAGATATGTATGCCCAGAGAGCACACCTACTCCAGACAGCAGGACGGGAAGGTCCACACTGTCTTAGATAAACAGCAATGCCCAGAACACAGAATAACAAATCAACGCCTACTCTTCTTCCCACTCAAGCATCTGGGGATGCCATCCTGACATGCTTGGGGGTCAAATAATTATATATGTAATGTAATGCACAGCTTAGTGTTCGGTGGCCGCATTTTGCACTGCTTATAGTTTCACCACTCACTTTAGAAGCAACCTCACATAACTAGTGGGACACCCATATCCATGGGAGATTGGTTCCAAGACACGCCCCCCCATGGATGCTGAACAGGGCTTTAGCTGCAATGATATTCACCTGATTGCTTTCCGTAGAATTTAGAGTTATAACGTTTAATCCAACTACCATATTTTTCTGTGTATAATACGCACCAATGTATAAGACGTCCCCCACTTCTCTAACCCAAAATTAAGAAATCTAAGTACAGATTAGCAAGTGTATGGGGAAAGGGATCAAAGCACTACAGGATCGCTTTGATCCCTGCCTTCTCCCTTTGTGCTAAGCCCCACCGAACTTAGCAAAAGGAGGGGGAAAGGGATCAAAGCAATCCCATGACTGCATGATTGTTCTGATCCCTTTCCCCCTTATACAGCCATGGAAGTGCTTAGCCCCTTTCCCCCTCCTTTTGCTAAGCCCCATGGGACTTAGTAAGCAGAGGGGAAAGCAAGGATCAAAGCGATCCTGCAGTGCTTTGATCCCTGCTTTCCTTTTGCTAAGGCTTAGCAAGTGGAGGGCAAAACAGGGATCAAAGCCCTGCAGGATCACTTTGATCCCTGCTTTCCCCTCCACTTGTTTTTTCTCTCCTCAGCTTACTTTTATGTATGAGACGACCCTCAATTTTTGTCTAAAGATTTTAGACAAAAGTATGGTCCTACACATGAAAAAATCATAGGCATCCTTCAGTCTCGAGAGACTATGGTAACATGCTCTGAACTGAGGAGTGTCCTCTCCAGAGCATGAAGCCCGGGTAAGGTATTATGGAGGATAGGCTGTTACCCAAGCAGCAGATCCCCCCTCTCCACATTGCTGAAATGGTCCAATGGAAAGGCAAGAGCCAATACAACTGGTTCCAGCAATGTCGCAGGAGTTGGCAGAGCGACACATGCTGCCTTTGGGACTCCAGCTCCGGAGTCAAAGGTTGGGAATCTATTTGTCATTCATCTTCTATCATAGACGTTCTTGGATCACACCACTTACCATGCTCTTCCGGTGGCGATTCTTGATAAAACGAGGATCATCACCCATACAGGAGTAGAGAGAACAGTTCCTAAAATATTTTTTACAAAATATTGCTTATTGTAAGTGAAGATATCATGGTCCCATTCCAACTCGATGAATTTACTTGCTTTCAATTCAGATGTCTGCCCCACCCTTGCCAGTTAAAAGCAGAGCTAACAATACAGTACTAAGGTTGGGAAGTCCGTCCCGGATTTTGTCCAGGCTTTCAACAGTCTCTCCGTGGTGCTGAACCATATCCTTATAATAGGCTTAAACCCGCCCCCCATGGCACCTTCGAAGTCAGGATTAACACCCGGAGTGGATTAACTACCCCACTAACATCAGCACCAACACACAGAGAAATGAATACAATCAAGGCATAACTTCTTTAAACACATCTGCATGAAATATACCGCACACCCTGCAGTTAAAATTTAAGTTTGCAAGTATGTCAGCTGAGAAAATCAAACAGCTGGCCAAATGTATTTCCTGCTCAGTAGAAGGACAACAGCTAATTAAATTACATTAGCTTACTTTTAATTCATTTAAATAATTAACTAGCAGCCTAATTGTATTCTCTCTCACACACACATGCACACACACACGCACAGACACACAAACTTAATTACACAACATAACATATCCAACCCATCTGTATCACAGTCTGGAAAAGTTACTCCCAGAATCCTACACAGCACCTGGAAAGAGTCTGGGGCAACATGAAGCCCCCCCAGAAGAAAAGGCCACCTGATACCATTTGCGACTTGTTAAACACCTTCTCGGGTGGGGTAACGTTTAGAAGGCATGGTGTGAGGGCGGCTGTGGAGAGACAGTTCGAATTTCCTGAAGAAGTGAATCAGATTTTGGAGACCCAGAGGTGACGGTTCACCTCCCCTCATTTTTCAGTGTGTGGGGGTGTTAGCAGGGGATTTTGTTAAAAAAACAGCACTGTTTTTAAGAGCCAGTTAAAAACTTGGCTCTTCGGGGAGGCCTTCCCTCCTGTCAATACTTGACTTTATTCTTATTATACTTTTCTGTTTTCCCATCTTGAGCATTACAGTACTAACGTTATTGTTTTGAATTGTTTTGATTGTTTTCGTTAATGGAACCTGCCCTGAGTAGACTTTGTCTAGGGGGGTGGGATAGAAATCCAATCAATA